AATATAAATTTTGTTAAATCATATGCTCCAAATGTACATCATTTAGTGTATGATGTAAAAATTTCAAATTCGAAAAAAGTATAAAGTATTAATCACTCATAATAATATTATACATTGCAATAATAATAATAATTTTGAATAGTTTTGCACGAGAAAACTAATGAAAGGTTAAAAATGTACCCCCAGTTTCGTATACTCAAAATCTTTATTATCGATTTGGTATAGAATTTGAATTCGACTAGTCTGTGGTACAAATTTAAGTAAACAATTTGTTAAAATGATTATTATATATTTTTCATTTAATAATAATTTCAAATATGAGCAAACATTTTATTTTGACATGTTAATAAGTGATTTTAATACCTTCAAAATAAAAGGAAAGGAAAATTAAGTAGTAAAAAAAGTTTTTCAAATTTGTTTTGAAAAAAGAAGCAAAGTAGGTGAAAAACTTAAATAAACAAAATAAAATTAAAATATTTTTTTTTATAAATTAATTTTTAGACTTGGAAAATTGTCAAAAAAAAAAATTAAAGTTGACCTAGTTTTTTGGCAAAATTTTATCATCATAGCAGATATTTATTTATTTAAAGAAAAACGATTTCAAAATTGTTTATTATTGTAAATCAGTATTTACGATTATTCGCATAATGATGACTTAATTAATATTATTAAGTAAGAATAATTTTGTACATAAAGGATTACACCTTTTTTTTTTTTTTTTTAAAAAAAAAAAAATAGATTTACATTTTCTACCCACGCATCTTACATAAGATGGAAATTATCTAAAGAAAATATTTAAATTATACGTGTTAAAATGCGCATTTTTTTTTTTTTTTTTATTTAATATTTTCCATACGCGATAATAAAAAATTATTATTATTACTTTTTGGTAGTTAATAAAATTTATTTTTATTACGCTTTTTTTAAAAAATACTTTAATTGTTATTTATTATTATTATTATTATTAAATTTTAATGGGAAAATTTCTAGGACAGTACGTATGGATGTTTTTTTTTTTTTTGTTTTTGATTTTTCTCTAATGGTTACGATATGATTTAATTAATTTTATGATAAATTAACGACATTTTAAAATTATTTTTATTATAATTAAAAAATTTTTACTCTTGTTCAGTTTATTAAAAAAAAAAAAAAACAAAAACAAAAAATCTGTATGACCTTCTGATAGTAGCGCTGTTATTGACATAGCGGATGATTTAGTAACTAACTCACAGCTGTCTTTGTGTACAAACATTGCAGAGAACACGGACCACAATTCTTACTCGAGGATCATTTCGTTTGTTTCTTTGTCTTTATTTATTGTTGTTTGTGTGTTTTTATTTATTTGTATTGTATTAAGGAAAAATTTTAATTTTTTTTTTCTTTTTTGTGTATGTGATTGTTTAATTATTTTATTAAAAAAAAAAAAAATTTTTTTTTTAAAAATAATTATGTCCTAAAAATAATGAGTAATTAATAAATTTAGTAACTGATAAAGGTTGGTTAAATTTTATTTATATATTATATTTAATTAAAGTGTTAATTATTTGTTTCTTTAAGGAATTTTACATTATGGTAAATGTCACAAATCGTAATTAATCATTTAAAACGTAGGAATAATAATTAAAATTATTAATCGCAAAATATATTAAGATGTGGTCAGTTGGTAATTGCTAAATGTAAAATCTAAATTTAGAAATTAGGACATGATTCTGTTGTTTAGCTATGATTATTTATTTTCCGTTTCAATTTTTTTTTACGCTTTTTTTCTTAATCCAGAAATATTTTGAATTCGTTCAATTGTAAAAATGGGTTAAGGGCAGCATAAAACTAATGAAAATAATTGTTAAAAAAAAAAAATTTCCATGTCTTTGTGATTTATCAAAATATTATTTTATTTAAAAAATTCCCCCCCCCCTCCCCATTTTCAGGTCGATTTATTAAATTTTTTATACTTTCACTTAATAATATTGCTTCATAAATTCTGCAAGCATCCATGCTTATCCATAATATAATAATTTTGTTACATAATATTAATCGCTCTACAAAAGTTTTATTTTTTTTTTCCTTTTGTTTCTATTAAAATAATTTTAAAAAAAAAAAAAAAAAAACGTATTTATGTTTATGACGAAGAATTGAGCTTTTGAAAATCTGGTTTTTTCTTTATTATATATTAAATAAAATTGTAAAATTTCCGTTAAATTTTAAAAAGCGTGGGCTTTTAAGCCTAATTCAAACAAACAAACATTTCAGACCGGATTTCAGGTATGCATTTGTAAACTTTTACGGTTTAGCTTTTTGAAATCTGGTATTTTTTATTCGTTTTTGTATGATTATTTTTTTTTCATATTGAAATTTCTTTGTTTTCTTTTTTTTTTTTTTTTTTACGCGTATTAAAAGAACAAACCTTGAATTGTAATTGGTGAAAGGGGTATTAAACTTTAAATATAATTATTCGAGTTTTTTTTTTTATTTATTTATTGATTTGAAATGATTGTTGGATTATTATTTTATTTTATATACACCCTCCAAAAAAGATTTTTATTTAAAATAATAATAATAATAGTAATCGAACCTTTTTCTATAATTAAATGTTTGATTCGTACGTTTGTTTGTTTTTCTTTTTAAACATTTAACAATTAAAAACAATAATTACGTTTTATAAATTTTTATTATTAATTGTTAATTAATAATTTTATTGATCGTATTATGAAAAAATAAATAAAAATTTATTAATTAATTCGCATCGTGTTAATATAATATTGCGCATTAAAAAATGGTTTTTTAGGTTCATTGAACAAACAAAGTTTTTTTTTTTGTACACATAGTACAAAGTTACGTAAGAAGTACCTAACCATATTAATAAAAAAGTAAACTAATAATTTATTTAGTAGCTTTTAAGGTAACCCCCCCCCAAAAAAAAAAACGTTTGTTGTGTAATAAATTTGTCATTCCGTACTACCGCAACATTCCAATCTGTAAAAAATTATTATTATTATTGCAAAAAAATAATAAAAAAATTTTTTCAAGTTAATTGTTATTACGGTAATAATAACTTTGCGCTTATTAAAAAAAAAAAAATTAATTTTTTGCAATGGTCTGAAAGAAGCATTTGAAAAATTTCATAAATTTAATCTTTTTGGATTAGGATTAAAAATTTTTAATCCTCATAGGATTATTTAATGTTTAAATATATTTAAAAAAATGATAATCTCGCGGTAAAAAAAAAGTAATAAATTTAATATTTTGTAATAATTTGTATGGTTACGGTTGAAAAAATTTTTAATATATTTTTACTTAGTTGTGTAATTTATTTACAATATATTAATAATAATAATAATGATAATTTTTCCGTTTCTACTTCTGTGTTACCGTATTACTTTTAAATAATTAGTTTGTTTCGATTACTATGATTTTTTTTTACATTGTAAATAATGAATTGTGATAATTTAATACGGTAGAGCGGGGGGGTGGGGTGGGGTGGGGGATTAAATGCAAAATTTAAATTAATTTTTTTTTCTGTTTTTTTTTTCAGATTGAAAACATGCCATCATTAGAAGAAGCCATAAATGAAAAATATGGGGGCGATAGTAGTGAGTCCTTTGATTGCCAATCCTCGTCTGTCACTATATATTTACCCAAACAAAATCCACGGTAATTTTTTTTATTTTATTATTTTATTTTATTAATTAACCAGTTGTTGTTGTTGTTGTTGTTGTTGTTGTTGTTGTTGACGACATTTTAAAAAAAATTATAAAAATTCTTATTAATCATCTTTGAGACGAGGAGGAGGAGGATTCTCCTCATTATACGCCGCGCGAAGATTTTTCTATTTAAATTCTACGCAATTTAATAACCGTTATTATTATTATTATTATTTATGTAAGACCAAGTCTATATTAATTAACTTAAATAATAATTTTTTTTATATAAAATAATATTTATATCGTGTCGGTGAAATTTGCAAACAAAATAGAAACCCCGTAAAATAAATTAACATGAATTCGTTATTAGGTGATAATAAAAAAAAAAAGTTGTTATTATTATTATTATTATTATTATTTCTTTGTTTCGAACCGATTTTCGCGGTAACTTTATAACGTTTTTTTTTTTTTTTTTTTGTTTAATTCTTAATTGTTTAAATAATTATTGTTTTTGTCATTTTTTTTTTTAAAGTTATGTAATAATTTACATTTAAATGATAGGAAAATAAAATAAGAAGAATTATTTATTATTATTATTATTATTATTATTATTATTATTATTATTATTATTATGTTTTTTTTTCTAATCAGTTTCATCACGTCACGTTTCTCTTATGAAAAACTAAAAAAAAAAAAAAATGAATTCATTCTTTTTCTGGTACACAAAAAAAAGAAAAAAAAAGAGATGAACTCAATAAATATCACTTGACTCAAGTTAACGGGAAATTTCTAATAATAATAATAATAATAATAATAATAATAATAATAATAATAATAATAATAAATATACATTGAAAAATTTAATTAGAAATTCAGAAAAAGAAAAATAACAAAAAAAAAAAAAATTTTTTTAATTTTTTTTTTTAGTTGAACTCAACCGTGAACCCGAATTTTAAAATAAAATAATAATAATAATAAAACTTTTAAATTTTGTTATACAGTAAAATAACGCCGTGTTTGTTGGTACTAAACGACTGCGGTATAGACAGTGCCGGATCTAGTAATTTGAGTATAAAATGCGCAGATGTGGTAGAACTTGATTTGGCACAAAACAGACTCACAAAATGGCCCGAAGTATTAAATATATTATATTCAATGCCTCGATTAAAATTTGCAAATTTGTCATTTAATAACTTGTCGGAAAAACTCGAACAAAATTTGACGTCGAACGCTTTCCCGGATTTAAGTAGTTTAGTGAGTAACAAAAAAAAAGAAAAATAATTGTGGTCAACGGTTTTTTTTTTGTTTTATTCTACATGTATGGATAAATGATTTCAGGTATTAAATTCTACTCACATAACCTGGGACACGATTCAAAAACTTTTAAAATCGATGCCACAATTACAAGAATTACATTTGAGCTTTAACGATTTTCACAAAATAGGACTTTGTGAAAATTGCCTTTCGAAAAAGGAAAAACATGATAAAAAACTTGTACAACATTATGGAGTTAAAAGATTACATTTTACAGGTGAATTTTTTTTTTTATTTAATTATTATTATTATTATTTACTTTAAAATAAATGAATGATTTTTTTTGTTTAAAGGGAATCCAATAAGTAGTTGGAACGAAATAATAAAATTAGGAGAATCATTTCCTCAACTCGAATCCCTCGTCATTGCCGAATGTCCGATTAAAAGTTTAGATTTTAATGGGAAAAACAAAGAAGAAATGATTCATAATTTAGATTCGAATGAGGAAAATGGGGAGGAAAAAGATAATGATAATGATGATAATAATGTAAATTATAAAAGAACGGAAAGCGAATGTGAAGCATTGCAAAAAAATATATCGGCTCATCATTGGTTTAGACATTTGAAAATTCTCAACATGAATTACACGTTGTTAAATTCATGGGATGATGTTGATAGATTAGGAAAATTTCCACAATTGAACTGTTTAAGAATACAAGGGTGTCCATTGTTCGAGGTTAAAATTTTTTATTTTTTTATTTTCCCCTTTTTTTCATTATCCAAAAAAAAAATAATTCATCCTTTTTTTGTTTTAACACTTTGAAGAGAGAGAAAACCTAAATTTTTTTTATTTTTTTGATTAAAGAAAGAGAAAGAAAATATATTGTGTGAAGGGGAGAGTGTTTTAGTATGATTTTGAAAAAAAAAAAAAAATTTGAATTTGATATTAAAGAAAGAAAAACAAGGTATTCAAATTAAATTTTTTGTTAAATGTAATAAATCAAATCATATAGAAAAAAAAAAAAAATTTCCCGAAGAAAAAATTTAATTTTCAGTGAGTTTTATTGTTTTTTTTTTTTTTTTTTTTTTTGTAGTCTTTACAATATACCGAACACGAAAGACGACAACTTTTAATTGCGAGATTGGGTAACGTTCAAACTCTTAACGGTGGAGGAGTGATAGGTGCCGAAGAAAGAGAAGATGCAGAAAGAGCTTTTATACGACATTACATGGAAAAACCTGAAAGTGATAGGCCTGAACGTTACGGAGACCTAATAAACATACACGGTAAACTGGAACCACTCGTAAATGTGGATTTGACTCCAGAAAAACGCGTTACGATAACGGTGTCGTGTAAGGAAATATCGGAAAGGAGGTGTTTGAACGTGTACCAAACGGTGGCGGAATTAAAAACAAAATTAGACGGATTTGCTGGAATACCAGGTCGTAAAATGAGGTTGTTTTATTTGGACCAGGAAATGAAGGGAGTAACTGGACCGGAGGAAATGAGATTTCCAAACAAACAACTTTATAGTTATAACATATCAAATGGAGATGAAATCATTGTAGATTCTAAATTGGGAACTTTCAAATCGGTCCCATAAATTTTAGTAAACTAAAACTTTGAATTACTTTTCTATAATATTATTTTTTTTTTAAAACAAAACAATTTTTTTATATCATCATGTAATTATGTACGTAGTTACCTTTTAAAAATAATCTGGGATTAATTATTAAAAACACAAAATAGAGATAATATTAGTTATTTACAACACATTTATTTACAAAATGTGTTGTCAAGTAAATTTTTAAAATTCTTTTCTTTTTTTAAAATGAAAACAACAACAGATTTATTGACATTGAAATGATTAGCAATAATACATAATGGTAATAATTGATTGAAAAGTTTTTTAATAACTTTTTTATTAAAAAAAAAAAAACATTCTAATAAAATGGCTGTGCTGTTTTGCTTTAAATAAATAAACTATTTTTCATATAATATTTTTAATATTGTATTATGAATGATTAATGACGATTATAAATTGTAAAAATACTACTTTTTGTTTTCCTGTTTTTCCTAATAAGTTATTTTTTATATCATTTTTTTTTTTAACTTGTGACCAAATGAAATTTTTTACATGGATTTATAATTATCACATGAATGACAAAAACCTTGTTAAAGAATTAATTGATTTTAAATGAGGAAAATAATATTTTAAATACAATAAATGTTTAAAATATAATAATAATATTAAAATTAATATTGTACTAATAATATTTAACTTACTATTTAAATTATGATGATGAAATCTGAATCGAAAAAATGAATTTAAAAAAAAATTTTTTTAACGTAAATTTAATTAAACGTACTGATTAATTTTTGTCGACAGATGTCGCAACTATCTAAATTTTAGAAGGCTGTGACCTGAGTCTTTGGGAGCCAAAAATTTTTGCATTTAATACTTAAATGTTGTACAACTTGAATTAGAAGCGTTAAACAACGGGAAGAAACCTGTTTGAATTGGATACATCCGAAGAAAAAATGAGGTACGTTTTATTAGCAAGTTTTTTATTGTTAAATTGTCTTGTGAATTGTGGCGATGATTTATCATCTTTGATCGACGAGGTATTCCAGCCTGGAAAAGCAAACGAAAACGTTAATAATCATGGAAATTCGGAATGTACGTGCGTGCCGTATTATCTTTGTCAAAATAACACCGTCATCACTAACGGAGTCGGATTAATTGATATACGTGTGAAAGATGGACCCTGTGAAAATTATTTAGACGTTTGCTGTGAAAAACCTTTGTCAGACGTTGATCGAATCACTCCGACGCCAACACCTGCCAGAGAAGGATGCGGAAGACACAATCCTGAAGGCGTAGGATTCAGGATTACTGGTAACGAACAAGGAGAGGCTCAATTTGGAGAATTCCCTTGGATGGTAGCACTTTTAAAAGAAGAACAAGCCGATGGTCAAAAATTAAACGTGTATCAGTGCGGTGGAGCTCTCATTCATCCCGAAGTCGTTCTCACAGCGGCTCACTGCGTTAATGGAGGTCATGCCAAATATAAAATTCGTGCTGGAGAATGGGATACCCAAACAAGCAACGAACTATTTCCACATCAAGATGCCATGGTGAGAAAAGTTGTCATTCACCCAGACTATTATGCCGGGGCACTATATAACGACGTCGCTCTTCTATTCCTCGATTCTGCCATCACCTTAGCCGATAACATCGACGTGATATGCCTACCACCTCAGGGTGCTAATTTCGACAGGAGCCGTTGTTTTGCGAGCGGTTGGGGAAAAGACGTATTCGGAAAAGAAGGAAAATATCAAGTTATATTAAAAAAAGTCGATTTGCCGATAGTTCCAAATCACGAATGTCAAGAATCATTAAGACAAACCAGATTGGGGCCCTACTTTAATCTTCATTCGAGTTTCGTATGCGCCGGTGGTGAGCCAAACAAAGACACATGCAAAGGAGATGGTGGAAGTCCTTTGGTATGTCCCATTCAAGGAACTCTTAACAAATATGCTCAAGTGGGTATAGTTGCCTGGGGGATAGGATGCGGAGAACACAACACTCCGGGGGTTTACGCAAATGTAGCCGGATTTAGGCATTGGATCGATGAACAATTAACGTACAATAATTTAGATACAAAATATTATGCTTATTAAATACGTTAAAATATTTTTTATATTCAGAGTTCAATAACCAATTTAATTCATATCCTTTAATGAAAATGTTCTTCAACTAGTTTTTTTGTTTTCTTTGATACTCGACATGAAATTTTTTATTTAAGTTTATTATTGTTCAGTATAA